ATGGAGGGGGTGAAAGGCCACGTAGGGACCAGTGATATGGGATGGGACAGGAGAAAAGGTCTGGAATAAAACATAGTCTGAAAGTTAAAGACCAGACCTGGACTACAGCCTTCTTTAAAATGCTCTCAAAGTTGGATGGTAAAGCTTCAAAGCATGCCTGAAAAAACAGTTGTAGGAAGAGGAGTACAGATTCTTTAGGATCTGCAGAAATGTGGAGTAGTGGGAATCTGTAAATTACTTTATTCTTAAATGAAAAAAAAAAAACAAAACCAAAACCAAAACAAACAAACAAACAAAAAAACAACCAAAAAAACCTCAGGAAGGTGCTGTTACTTAATATATTATTGGAGAGTTTTAAGCAATGTAGCAGGGGACGAAATATCAGATGAATAAGAGCACATTCTCTCCCTTCCACTAGGAATGGAATCGTCTGTATACCTAACAAGACAGTGGTCTGAAGTTTTCAAAATTCAATTGAGAAATCACTGTCTAGCACAGTCTGACTTGAGAACATCCATACATAAAAAACACCAAAATATTTATATATAGCTTGGCATAGATTCTAGCAGCACAAGACGTAAAGCCTGAATGTCTAGTTTTAATCAAGGTCATAGTAGGCATACCAGAAATACGATGGAAGTAAGACAAAAAGGCAAGATATTGATACTAAATATATAGGAGAGTCATAAAACTAAATACCAATATATTAACTCACCAAATCAAATATGCATTGAATATCCAGACTCTGTTGTTAGACAATATCATTACCCACACAACCAAGATGGTGGCAGTACCTATGACGTTTAAGGAGTATAAGGCCAGCAATGAAACTGTAATGACATACAGCAGTAATGAGTAGCTTGGATAAATGTCACACTGAAGAGGTCAAGATCAATTTTTTAATACAGTCTTTTCCATGCAGCTGATTGGGACCACCCAACTCTGGCTGTGGTCTCCAGGACCATACAAGGCCTGAGCCAAAATGCTATTTTCAAAGACTGGCTTTGTAATGGTCACTTTTATTTCTGCAAGTCTGTTGACTAGGTTTTTTAATAATGACAGCAGTCCACTACCACTTCCATAAAAAGACTTCCATAAAAAAAGAAGCAACATATAATAAGAAAATATGTTAAAATGAAACCAAAAAGAAAAGTCAACAAAATTAAGATTAAATGCTTGATGACAACACTAAGATTCTATGTACTGAACTTCAGTATGATGACTTTAAATACACACATCAAATTAAACTTATTTTAGTGGGGAGGAGGAAGCTAGCATGTGCTAAAAGCTACTAGAATTTGAACATCAACCTTTGTAAAACCAGCAGTCTAGCTTAAGCAGTCAAACAATCTGTCATGGAATGTAAAATTTACAGGCAGATCAGAGTGCAGAGGAATAATGTGCAAAAGTGCATTCACACTGACAAGCACCTTAGGAACAGGAACCATACCTGAATAAGGCAAGTAGATACCTAAAAAAGCCAAGTGCTCAGAAAAGAGAAGGCCACAGAGGAAAAAAAATCCCCAAACTCTGAACAAAATCCTAAATCAGTTTTTGGTACCATGCAGGAACTTGAGCAGAACTTCTAGGTAACTTGTTGCAACAAGGCAAGCAGTTGAAGATTTTACCCCTCAGACCAAAATATCAGAAGAGGTTACAGAGGAAAGAGTGACGAAGCTGGGGGCTATCACTCCCCAGTTCTAATAGAAATCAAGTAACTGCACTGTGAAACTTCTGGGTTAAAACTGCCTCATTAACAAGTGACTGGAAGTTGGAAAAAGTAACAGCAAGTTTTTGGGGGTTTAGTGGGTGGAAGGGCCATTTGCTTTTTAAGAAGAGATTCCAGAGAGATCAAGGAAGTACAGATTAATTATATTTTTCTGTGTATAGCAAACTACCAGAAATCATTCTAAAGCCACAGACAACAGGATCAACATACTGAGGAAAGTCATAGTTGCATTTGCAAAGGAAAGCCATGTTTGATAAACATTTTAGAGTTCTCCTAAAGACTTAGATGAAAGTATGGAGATCTAATAATACTGCATGCTTGAAATTCTAAAAGGCATCTGACACATGCCCTTGCCAAAAACTATTAAAGTTGTCATATCAGTACATCGTTTACAGATAGAAAAGAAAGGGTATGAATCAGCAGTTGTTCTTTCCTAAGGACACAGACTGCCAGAAGAACACCACAAGTACACAGTTGGGGCAGGCAAAGTACAACCTATTCCTAAGGGTTCTGAGACAGCTGTTTCTGAAGCCCACAGTTTATTCCACTAACACTAAATTACTCAAAGTAACAAAGGGATTAAGGAATTAAAAAACTGCAGAACCATTTCACTGAGGAAATAGGTGTTAAAACCAACAGACTAAACTCATAGATATCTGAGAACAATTCATGCTGGGAAAAATACAAAAAATCAGACATATATATATATATATATACACATATGGAAATGGACTCCCGAGTTGTTCATTAATTATTCAGGATTGAGTTATTGTTCTGAAAACATAAGTGCAAAGGTTAGGAAAAAGCAAAACAAATTCAGCATTATTTTTGGAAGCAAGATAAAACAAAACATGAAACGCTTTTTTTAAAGAAAAAATCCACAGTGAATACTGCGGGCAGTTCTACCTGTGGCTCCCTCCCTGAGAAACTGAAAAAGTAAAGCAAAGCTTAAAAAAAACAATGTAAGGTACAAAAGAGCTTACCAGCAACAAGCAATTAAAAGAAATACGACTCTTCAGTATGAAATAGAAACAACTGAGGCAGGCAGGATAAGACAGAAGTCCACAAATTCAAAAGCAACATGGAGAGTGCACAAGAGGGTTGTTTTAATGTCTGCAGGCCTCAACCAGAGCTACCAAATGGTCAGTTCAAACATATCAATCACAAATTGCTGGTGGTACAGGAGTCTTCTAAGGAGACATACACCCGACCTACTACCTACCCTACACATTCCCTACTTCCACCATCTGTGACATCACATCAGGCTAAACAGAACCAGGATTACTATTTTCAGTTCTAATTTATCAGTTTGAAGAAAAGGGAAAAAAAATCTTTCAAAAATATGACCTAAGGCTACCAACAGTTCGGTCTGGTCCTATGGCAACCGCAATAATAAAAACATAGTATGCACTGCAACATTTAAAAAAAATTACTTAGTGACATGCTGAGATTCTTCTGACAGTGTTATTCCAGGTTTTAATCACTAATGTAAACTAAAAATGTCATTGCTAATAACTTATTTAACAGCTATCTTACCCAGCAGAAAAAAGGGATAATAATAATTAGGTTCAGAACTCACTAATAGGGAATTATTTCTAGTCTCTTAAGTTTGGCTTTTGGTCAAGATATGTCACACAGGTTTCATCTATAAAATACCAAGAACAGGTATGGGCAGTAGCCAAGTCACTGGTATATTACTACTTGACTAGTAAAAAAGAACCAGCTGTCCTTCCTCACCTTCAGTGCCCTTGGAAAAAATTCTCTGGCCAATTCCCTCTATCAAAGAGAAACCTAATTAGCAATTATATTGTTGGGGCAAAGACACATACAACACATAACTTTTCACAGCAAATAACACCACCTCTACAAAGGGATAACAGGAAGGACTCCTGAAAGGATTACTTTTAGTGATATTATATATTCCAGAGTGAGTACACAACTGTAAGGTAAAGCATAAGCAGGTATTCTTTCCAAAAATGCCAAGGCAGTGGAAGGATTAAAAAAAGATTTATTTCAGATGCAAGGACCACTATTTAACAAAGGCCCTCTCAGGACCTCTTTATCCCCTCTGTCTCTCCCCTGCCTTCCAAAGGCCTCTGTGCATGTCTGTTAGGGCTCTCTCTCTCCTCTCACATATCAGAGAGAGAGGCTGAGAACTCTCACTAAGAGGGGTGGCAGGGGAGAAAGCATTGAAGCTGCCTTTGAGAGTTACCTTTTAGGCAGAAAGCCTTCTTAAGCAAAAACTGTCTCCTTGTAACAAAATATTTTGGGTAGAAAGGGTATTCTATCCTCAAAACAACTAACTGTAAAATTTCCTGAACACACAACCATCCCTTGTTTTATTTCTCAATACATACCTGCAAGACGCTTGAACATGCATTGTTTTCTGGCACAAAGACAAAATTTCTCAGCTGCACAAATGAAGAAAATCTCCAAGTTTAAAGACTCAAAGTTATCATCATTGAGATCTCTTTTTTCTGTACTTTAGTTTTTGCCAAGAAGGGAAGTAATTTCAAAAGTTGAATCTACATCTGGATCATGATGTAATGAACACTGGAGCTAAGAGTGAAGGTCCTAAACCACAGTCATAGTTTTCTTCAGAGATAATAAAAACATCCATTATCAAAAATTACTTGATCTCAACAGAAAAGCCCAAGGTCAAACATCTGGTAAGTTTTCAGCAAGACAGGAACACTCAGGATCATTTAAAGCTGAATAATTACTCTGCTTCAGAAGTTGTTTTGAATAAAATAAATGGTGATTTTATTGACTATATATACAATTTAAGGAGCATCGACTTAAGAGTTGAATCGAGTGTTCAAGATACAGAGCAAAGTACTGACTTCATGTTCTGGAAGCGATCGTGTTTCCTAAACACATACTGAGTCATTGAAAAGTCTTTTATGCAAAAAGGTCTGTGCAGCTCAAACTCAGAATATCATAGGATTAGCAACTCCAATGACCAATCAACAGTCCTTCAATGTGTACACACAAGTGCTACTGTATTAAATGAATGCTGCACATACATCCAAGAATGGAACCGAGTAGGTTTCGTCTTCACAAAAACACACTCCATATAATTAAATCTCCTAAAGGCAATTCAGGTATGGTGAAGATCTAGAGGTTCCTAGCTTTGTAGTGTTAGCTACAAACAAACAAAGCCTGAAGGAAACCCCTCACTACTTTGTAGGGACTAAATGATAAGAACGCAAAACTATGCAGTTTGCAATCTTTGCCCTACATGAAAAACTTGATGCAATCATACCTGCCACCCAATAAACATACCTCTGCACTTTATTAACCTCTGTGTAACATGATAATTCCAATAAAAGCTCCACTCTATCCCAAATTAGATAACAAGATTTTATAAAAAAACTGTTTTAAAAACATATCAGTATGTTATTAAAGTTATCACCATATCAAAAGCAAACCTTTTTCAAATTGTTTCATACACAGACTTCATCATACCAAATGGACTCTTCCAGGTAGCTAAATGTACACATTGCACTTCTCTGCTGCTGAATTTCTCCTCTGACTAGATAAGACCAAGTCAATTACATACATCAATCTTCAAACAATTTCCAACCCTCTCCCTTTAATTGGTATATATTTATATATTACCATCATGACTTTAAAGTAGGCATTTATTCAAAGTAATTTATTCAAGTACTTAAGTCATAAGCTGCAAGCCTCCATCTACAACTAGAACACTCCCTGTAACATATGGGGATTCTAGAAGAAAGACAACAGCTTGTGCAACTTCATGAGGCTCTCCAAATCTTCCAAGGAGAATTGATTTCTTCAACTGATCTTCTTCCAAATGAGCAGTCATCTCTGTGTGAATAAAGCCTAAGAGAGAAGATATTTGAAGAGTTACCTCACTTTTGACTATATTTATCTAGTATATTTTCCATTGAATCCTACAAAGTGAAATCTATTACCAGGATTCATCACCAGCTAGCATTCTTCAAAGTCTCCAAAAGCAGTCCACACCATGTTATGGCCAAGACCAATTTTTTATCTAACCAATAAAATATCTTCCAGTTTTGGAAGCACTGATGCAATAATCTAAATGCAGAGATCTACAGAAATCCATTAAAAAAAAAGGTAACTAAATTTGGGTCCTAAAACCATATTTAGTATCACTTTTCTGAAAGACAAACCACACTCTTTTCACCAAAATGTTCTCCATTAAAACAAGCACAAAATCTCTGGCAAGAAACCCTCTCAGCCTGCAAGTGTTTTCATTATATTTTAGAACTTATGACAGCACTTGCATAATTTCTATCATACCACTCATTTGAAGACTGTTTCTTGACATCTTCGAAGGACATTTTGTTTCAATTTTCTGTTATCTGAGATTCGGTTTTCCCACTGCTGCACAACTCTTCATATCAGCTGCAGCTTCATAAAGAGCTGATCTTACCTGCTTTCTAGCTGCCATCAAGCAGGAAAGTCTCCCTTTTGCTTTCTACTCTGCCCCTTATGATGGCTTCGGACCCTTCAATGAGCTGCTCAACTCACTGAAGAATTTTTCCTGCCTAGTTCACAATCTGAAATGGTTCATGTAGAAGTCTGAAAAGCATCAGAGGCACCACAAAGTGAGCAGCAATGTACATAGTTATGAGTGGAAGAAGTCAGAAAATACAGAAGGGATTTTTCCTTAAGGGTGGTGGTTTGCTTGAGCTGGATCATCTTAGGAAATCACAGCCTTGTCCTCACAGAACGAACTTCTCAGACTCCCTCCTTTTACTACAGGGAGACAGGGATGCTTTTATGACAGCTTCTCTTGGTCTGTCATGTTTCTCTAATAACAAATAAGCATTCTCTAGCAGGAGACAGGGGCAGCTGTCTGTCTATAATTAGCTCTAATCCTTACATCTGCAAGGACAGCAAGTTTTGAAGGAGGAACAAAGAAAAGACATTTATTATGTAACAATGGAGAGATGAACAGGTAGATTCACTCTTCCAAATTTCTCAGCGTTCCATTAAAAAGACTGAAGGTTTTCTAAAAGAACGTATTACACTTTAAACCAAAGAAAAAAAGAAGATATTAAAAACACTTAACTTACAAAATTGAAGAAAATAATAACAATTTGTCTTAAGTTACTTTCAGAGTACCCACAGTCTTGATGAATTGTGGCAGTCAAGAAGGTAGGAATTTCTCAAAAACTCACCTGGAGCAACAACGTTGACTCGAATTTGCTTTTTCGCTACTTCTTTAGCAAGAGAGCGTGAAAATCCAACTAATCCTGCTTTGGTGGCACTATACACACTTTGACCAGAGTTGCCTTTAAGTCCTACAATACTTCCTAAAATAAAGAAACATCAAAGAGAAGCTTAAATGGATAACTTGAAACCTTGTACTAGCTTTACCATTTTAGTTTTAAATTTGGAATGAAAAATGAGATTACAAGAAAAGGAGTCAAATATATTACTGTATGCACTTTATAGCCTACTTCTGGCATAAGCAAATCCCCAAATTATCTGTGATTTTTGTGCAATTCATATATCTATGTTGACCAAGTGGCACCAGGAGAGTAAAATGAAGGGTTTTGTAAAAAAACTATCCTTACACAGATTTAATTCATTGATTAATAAGAAAGAGAAAAGAATGAAGAGAAAAGAAAGAGAAGAGAAGAGAAATAGAAGAATAAGGGGAAGGTGAGGGAAGAGGGGAGGGGAGGAGAGGGGAGAGATAAAGAAAAGAAACTGACTGTATCTATTAATCCTTAGTTAATAACTAGCATCTGGTAGATCTAGATACTGAAAGAACTGATAAAGAACAGCAAAATTCTTTTTTTCAACAAAATCTAAACTCTGAGGTGTTTATTAGTGAAACAAGCTGGTTTTATATTTAGAGGTTGCTGAGACTACAAAAAAGAATGAGTTTTCATAAAGAAATACTAAATATTGAATGTCTAAACACAAAGAAAATGAAAATAAGTCAATTGTAACAAGTAATGTAACGTTACTCCTGCTAAACCTTTCCAGAAGACTAGTAAACAGAATTCCATTGGCTTACACAAACAACTTACCTATATTGACAATAGCACCTCCCTGTTGTTGAATCATGACTTTTACAGCAGCTTTGCACGTCAACATTGTTCCCAAAAGGTTAGTGTGAATCTGGGTTATCATATCTTCAGTCTTGGTTCTCAGTAACAAACCATCCCTGACAAACAAACCCAAAAGAACTCACTGAACAACCCCATGGGTCACGCTTATTCATATTAAAACGTGACTGGTGAACAGAACGTTAATGGGGCTGTATATGGTTCTCTACGTTCTAGCATTCAAAAGGAAGACACTGCGAGCACAACACATCGCAAGAAAAAAATTTGGCCACGCTTCTGGCAACAAGGCCTCTTTTGCAGCGTGGTTTTGGAGCATTTTGGGGGAAGTGGAAGAAAGAAGAGGGGGAACTCAAACTCAGAGTGCAGAAACTACAGTGAAAGCTGTGTCATGTCCCTTCCAACTCAGAAGATTCTGTGATTCTGTGATCTGTTAGCATTTTAGGGCCATCAGGAACAAAATACTGCTGAGCACTTAATATTATTGTCAGATGTACTCATTAACAACACTCTTACTGAATGCAAGGGCTCACAGCATCTTACAGTGAGATGCCTTCATCTAGAATTACATATAATCTCATAACCAATAACTAACCTGTTGATCCCAGCTGCATTAACCAAGTAGTTAATAGGACCTAAATTCCTCTGCATCTCCTCAAAAGTCTTTTGGACTTCTTGTTCGCTGGATACATCACAGCTAAGTGCCAGATGTCCTGCTGTATTGAAATAAAGGCACACTATAATAACAGTAAAAGCTGGTATATCATTCATAAACCTTCTTCAGAATTTATCAATTCAATCTCAAAACAGATGTTGAACTAGTTATAATTTAAGGAACCCATTTAACCTCCAGAGAATTAAATAAAGACAATTTTCAAGTATTGTATTTATTAGTTATGTGACAATCCCTTGTTTTATATTTTTTGCCTTTTAAAATCAGAAGCTTGGTATGAGCAGACACATCTCAGTTCTGGCTTGTTCAGGAGCCAAGATGACTCAATTCATACTACCTCTCTGTTGTGGCCCAAACAATTCCTTTCATCTTAAAATTTGTATTTTGTGGACAGAATAGGTAACATACGTACTTTCTCAACAAATATTGTAAAAACAAAATTGTACCGACATAGCATTTCTTTTAAATTTCTCAGCCTTTATTTTCATTTTTGTCTGGTTAAACAATGAGGTTTCTTTATGGACTTACTACTTCTACGAGTTACCTAAGCATGGGACAGTGAAGAGATAACTGCAAGCAGCATACATACCACCAAGATCACGTGCAGTGGTTTGGGCTACTTCCAGATTTCTAGCAATGATCGCCAGGCGGCAGCCCTTCTGTGCCAGGAGTTCTGCAACAGCTTTGCCTATTCCTCGGGATCCTCCAAAAATGGCGCAAATCTTGCCCATCTTCAAACATAATTCACAAATTGCAAATAAACCATGAACTTCGTGTCCAATATGGCAAGAGAATATCCACTGTTCTCGTCAACATCACAGCCTTTACCAGTTTGTAGCATTTTGTAATAGTAGGTTATAGAATTAGTGATTTGTTACTTTTTATTCACCAAAAAATAAACATTTGAACTAAATTAGGCACCACTTCTAAAAATGACAGTTAATTCTTAATGATTTCTGAACTAGTAAAAAAGTTATGCATGTAATCTAGCACTCCAATACTAGAGTTATGATAACTTCTATTCAACCGGTGAAATATGTGATTTATATATCTAAAGATGATAAGTACTGTTCATCTGCTTATTTGAAGCTGATGTACTAGTTGTAATTATATTGTTCTTGTAATCACTATTTTTGTGCTAAAGTCATTTAGCCTCATGGTCTCACTCCATCCAAAGCATCTGTGTTGGACAGCACCAGTGCAAACATTACTGAGCACCATTTGAAACTATTGTATTTACACTGGTTTAATACTGTCACACTACATAACACTACATTTTACCAATATCCTTGGGTTTTTTTGTTTCTGCTTTTGAAAGGAAAAAAAGGTTTTAAAATGTGAAGTGATTCTGAAGCAGCTAGCTTTGATATTTAGGAAGGAATATAAGAAGAAACTTCTTCTGTAGAATTATCTTTTATTCTGCAAGCTCTAGAAACCAATCAGCTGTTTTGGGATTTCCTAAGGAGCCAGAGGCAAAATCCAAGTAATGAATCTTTTTTTCCATACATTTGAATAGATCCTTTTTGAACCCAATTATACTTTGTCTCCATAACATCCTGAGGCAATGAGTTTCATTATTTATGGGAAAGTACTTCCTTTTGTTCTTAATTTGCTTTCTGATTAGATAATACCATGCACTTCTCCTCATATCTTCCCTTTACTGTTTCACCCTCCACCTGTATCCTCCTTCAGATCTGTTTGGTTTCTCTTAAACATATAGAAGCCATTTGGTAGCTTACTAAAGACTATTCAAGCTCTTAGACCTTGGTTTACTGAGGTCTATTGAACTCTTTTGGATGTTCTGGTTATCACACAGAACAGCACACAGTACTAAGCACACAAGGCTACCATCAACTCAGACAATGGCATGATGATTTCGGTCTTCTGTGACAGCACCTGAAAGAGCAGATGGTCCATCCTTTTCAAAGGATGCACAGGTACAAACTATGCACAAGTGCCTGAAACCAACCCATGCGCCACTTTTCAATGGCAAGTTGAAATCAGCTACATGGAGCAGGAAGAGGCTTAAATACTTGCATCTCAGGTAGTGGGCTGTTTGACAGAACACGTACAGAACAGTGCCCTCCATGAAGACAATTCCTTCCTGACAAAAATGGGCACCACTGCCTTGCCAGAATGACTATTGTTTTGGGCAGTCTTCATTAGGTAGCTACACAGCAAGATATGAATCAAGAGGTCTTACACCCCAGTAACTACAGCTCTCACTCTCTTAGCAGACTAAGGGCACAACCCCATATTCTGTTGACAGATTTTTCTGGTTAGAATCAAAGACTCTGTCTGCCTTTTCCAGCATGACTGATCTCTTCTTTTACAGAATTACCAGAATGACTCTTGGAAGTTCTTGCCTACTTGTTGCAGCAACGTTGTGCTAGGATTTCCTCCTTTACATTTTGTTCTTACTCGTACTGAGCATATCTACTCTCCTGTTTTTATGTGAAAGTGGAACGATATGGATGAGATCTGAGGAAGTCATCCTGTGAAACTCCTCCACCTCTAAGCGTTATAGGTGAATCATTTTACACTGTTAATAAATGCTTTCAGACCTACATGTATTTTCCAAATAATTCTGAACATGCTTAGCTACACAGGACCCAAAAGATCTTCCTGTGGGAAGAGAATTTTTAAAAAATGTATCGCTCTACCCTTCTCGGCCTCTTTGAGAACTGAAAAATTGTTACTGATTCCATCAACAACTCTACTGTTCTCAGAACAGGGAAAGCACCTTGTGCATCAGCAGGCATTCATATGGGGGGCATAAGGCCTACCTCCAACCCACTAATGTACAACTTGTGTTTTAGCACACTAAAGCCATACAGTTTCCTTGGAGTTGTGACTTGGGAAAAAAAAGCTGCTCCGGGAGTAATTACCCACTGTTCCCCGGACAGGTATCAGAAGGGAAAACCAGGTATTTTTGGAGCAACAGGCACACACGGGCACCTGCATCGCCTTTGCCTTCTAGGGCCCTGCCCTTCTTTCACAACCAACTCTTTATCGCGTGACCCCAGAGCTCCAATGGCGCCACCGCCCCACGGCGCACGGCTGCCAAGCCCACGGGAGGCACCTTTAAAAGAGGGCGAGTGGGGTTCCCGCAGACAGCCCAGCTCAGTTCAGCTAAGCCCAGCCCAGCAAAGCCCAGCCCCGCGCTCGCCCCGGCGTCGCCCTCCCTCTCGCCCTCCCTCTCTCCCTCCCTGCCGGCGACGCGTTCGAGCTCGGCTCCTGCTCCCGGCCCGGCCGTCGGGCTGCAGGTGGAGCCCGCGGCACGGGCAGCGGGAAGCGGCGCTGGGCTCCCGCGGGGGCCGTCGGGACGCGCGGCGGCGGTGCCACGCTGGCAGCGCGGCCGCTCCGTGTCGCCCGCCCCGAGCGGCCACAGGAGAGGGACGGGAGCGTGTTCCGTGTGTGCTTCAGTTACCTCCCGGCTGCTGGGCAGCTGGTGGCTCGCTTCCCTTAGAGAGGGAGGGTCCTTTCCTCTCCAAGGAGGCCGGTCCAGCTCCGAGCCGAGCGCAGGCGTCACGGGATGGCGGCCTGACGTCACCCAGAGCTGGCTTTGGCCGCCGCCGCCGGTCCCGGCGGGAGCAGAGGCCGGGGCTGAGGGGGCCGGGACAGTGCCCTCGGGAGCGCCGCAGCTCCCCTGGCTCTGCGGCGGGAGGGACACCCGCCCCGGCAGGGACACTCGCCCCGGCGGGGCCGCCCCCGCAGCTGCAGGGTTGGTGTCAGCCCTGCACTCACCTCCTTTCTCCCCTGCGCTCACACGCGGAGAAGCCCTTCTGCTTTCATCTTACACTTGCCGGTTTTAAACTCCATTTTACATGTGGATATCCAGTCAACGTCCGTCTTAGGCACTAGTACGCTTTGCACCAAGCCTCTGTACTCGTTGCCAGAATTTATGTGGGGCACGAAGTAGCTGCTGCACACTGAGCTGGACCTCTAAAAGCACAAAACACAAATCAGAACATAATGTCACAAAACAGGGGCCACTGTAACTGAGGTCCTCTCTACCACCTATTTCAAATTCCTCTTGGGTTTGGATTTGAGGCAAGATTTACAGAGGAACTTGAGTGCTAACCATTAACCACATTGGTGCCTGAATCTGTGGCCTCTTATATTTCTGCCAAGAGTCACACATGAAAGAACAATGCTGCTCAAATGTCCAGCAGCATTTCATATTGTTGCCTATACTGCTTGTGAAAGCATACCACATTACACGGTTTTTGTGTAAGGCCTGGGACAAAGCAACTGGAGAACTGGCTGCAGTTATCATCAGTCCCATTTTAAACAAAAACCAGTTGGTTGGAGCACTCAGCTAAAAGAAAAAACTGCTTTGAAGTCTTCTGTCTTGCTGGGAACATGGTCACTAACTTCAGTTTTTCATCACTGAACAAGCTTGTCATAACCATCAATCTGGTTTCAGTTTATGGGAACAAGAACAAAAAATTAAAGTGAGCCACAGAGGTCTGACACTATAGCCAGATGATTACTATCCAGAAATTTAAGACCTTGAGGATTAAGCATCAGTTTAAATCAACATTCAAGAAACTATTTTGCTTTTCAATTGATGTATTAAAGATGACCTCCCTAGCTTAAGCAAATCTCGTGATGGGGACATGTATCTGGGATGCAGGAATCATGGGCTTAGAACAGAATTAAGCCAGGGAGAGCTTAAGAGGTTTCCTTCTTTCCAGGCCGAATGATAACTGGGTGGCAAGTCACACAGTCAACACACTGCTGTGCATTTCTTTCTGTAAAAAGGGGGTGTAACTGGACTGGGTGTGTCATTCTAGGTAAACTCTCCTTTAGGCTCTCCTCCATGATAATATTCCATACATCATCAAGGCTCCTCATTATTTTCCACTTTGCCTGGGCAGCTCAGCGCTGAGGTTGCTGACTTTTTTTGTTTCTATCAAGCCTGAATTGCCCCTTTCTTCAGATGTGCTCTTGTGATTTGTACTAGGGAAAAAACAGGTCTAGTTCCTAATATTATTTGTATATACATCTTCTATATACACAAATATACAATATATAAGTGAAATAACTAATAAGTTTTATGTTACAGTTTCCAGAAATCTTTGATATGGCCTTGGCCTTCTAGGTAAGTGATACAAGGCTATGATAAACTGCAATATTTGTTCTTGTGTGGTAACAGTAAACTTTTATCATGCCAACATGAAGTGTACAATTTTGTACAATTTAGGTGTACCTTTTCAAAAAATTTGGGGAAAAGTTTTTCCTCTTAAGAATCTTATTCCTGGTACCTCTGTGAAGAGTATAAAAACTTTGTGAAAACTCTAAAAAAACCCCCCAAAACAACCCCAAAACAAACAAAAAAAACAAACCAAAAACCCACACCAAAAAAACCAGAACAAAACAAAGCCATTGGAATTTCATCAAATTACCTGTTTTTTCATATCCTCCTGTCTAAACAGGTTTCCCCACTATGACTAGTAGTATTTCACATGTCAGCGTGAGGCCCATGTTTAAGTTAGCACAGTCACTGAACTGCTGCTGCTCCTAGTGAGAAGTCAGGCACACCATGAAGGGAGCAGAGAGAAGCTTGTATTATTGCTGCTTCATCTGTTGCTAAAATGGAACGTTTCACTTCCAGTGCTGCCCTGCAGCACCTGACACATTAAAAGAAAACAACCCCAACATCACCCACCCCTCTAAAAGTATCTTCAAGAAACATCTGTCACACATTCAGTCTCTGCTTACAACTCCAGTCTGATCACAGACACTAGCCACTCCTGCTGTGTATCAGCAGACTTTGGACTAAAGAGATGGAAACTAGGATCTCAGCATGTCTTGAAATCTCTTAAATCCTCCATGCATCTGACTCCTCATGTAAAGGCTGCACTGCCACAGAATGTATCAATGTTTAGCTCATACGTTCCAAGCCAGTGAGGACTGGGAATAAAGAAGAAATAAACAGCCATCCAGGGCGTAAATTCATCGCTTTCTGTCTAAGCACCTCTTAGACAGACAGTTTTGCAAATTTGCAAAGGGCATCACACAGAGCAGTCAGCATCTCCCAGCAAGGCAATCTGGAAAGCAGTCAAAGCTGACACCACCACAGAAGGACATGTCACCCCCAGCAGTCTCCACTGACAGTTTTGTACAGAAAGGATAACATTTGTGTATTGCATATTTTGTAAGCATTAAGAATATCCACTGGAAGTCTAGTACAATAACATTCAGGAGTTTGCAGAAGTATTTGAATACCCCTGAGTAAATAACTCTCCTCCTGTTCTCTTAGAGACAATTTATATTTAATTATATCTAATATACTCAATTGTGAAAAGAAGTAGTCTCAGGAACAGCACTTAAAAGTAGCTAAAAGCCATTTATAAAAGTCTATTCAAGGCCTTGCATAATTTGTTTTTATTTCATGTATGAACAAAGTCTTAACTTCCCCATTCTGCCCTTTGTAGTCTCATTCATATTCCCATTCACTAGGTATTTATATAAACTGCAAAGTAAGATCCATGGCCAATCATTTCAAGAATTAAATTGTCCTGTAAAAGTCTGTTTAGCTAGTAGTGCAATTGCTGGTGAAAAAGAGTATTTTTGAGAAGTATTCATCAGCAAAGGTAACTGGGTTCTAGCTCCAAAACATACAGAAAACTGTTCGTAACATTAAGACTAAGAAAAAAGGTTTGTCTAACAAGCTAAAATTTCTTTCCTGTTAAGATGGAGCAAGGATTGAGGTTTTCCTGCCTTAATACATTCCTGATCATAATCTCAGGCTTTGAATCTCCACAAATGGTATGGGCAAATTCAATGTGTTGCCCATTTTGGTCCTGTGAAGCAGTCTTCTGAAAATTTACTGCATCTACTCATATTTACATTCAGTATCCTGTATGTACTGTATCTTAAAGTTTGCTTTGCTGAAGAATGGAAGGATATGGGATGTTGGGAGAAGATGACAAGGACAAAGGGGCAAAGATGTAAATTGGGGGGGGGGAGGCAAATAAAGATGGAATCACTCGACCTAGTGATTTGAACTGAATTCGTTAGGGTAAGAAAATTCAGCTAAGGGACATTAATGCAGGAATAGAAGAACATACTTAGTAAGCAACAAGAGTTGGTCCTTCATTTCCCTTCTCATGAGAAGCTCTAAGGACTTATACAAGTAAAGTCTTTGTTTCATAAACATATTAATTAGCCCCCAGGAAATAGCACACCTGAGACACATGGAAGTGAAATATTTAAGGAATTCTTCCAAATATCTACCTTGACATTCATAAGATTTATGAGGAGCCCAAGGGCTGTTTAAAGCAGGAAACTGAAGGCATATCCACAAGCATTAACCATTTTTATAGCCTAACCTATTTTAGCATACATTCATTATGTGACTATGAGTATGTTTTCAAGGTTAGCCCTAATGAGGCACAAATTTACTGAGTACAGCAATACCAACTTAATGTAGCACATCTACTTGCTGACACAAAGCAGCAAGTCAAGGGACCGTGTACTCATCCCTCCATAATTGCAAATATCTGTGATCCTAAACATAAGGACTTACACTGGCAAAACTTTAACTGGTATTTGCCAACAATGAGTGTAGAATACAGTCCATAATAAGTAGGGATAGTGACAATCTGTCAGATTTCATAGACTCTTCACCTTCTTTATCTTCACCAGTATTATAGGAATTGTCAAACCCAATATTCTTTACAGCTGTTACCATTTTGCAGCCTGAATCACATACAGTAATACTTGGAGAGTTTTCAAGGAACTCTCAACATTTCAATTTTCTCTATCAGATTGTCCTAAATAAATCTAGTTTCATATCACATCTCCTTGTGGAGATACTTTCTGTCATTTAATCTCACTCACGTACTTAACTGAGCAGCTGAAGACTTCATCTTCTTGTGACATACAGAAGTTCTTACTGTTTTATGTCCTTCCAATAAAGTAGTCAATCATAATAATACCCAATCAGATGGCTTAATGAGATAACAATTAGGTTAATAAAGATGAAAAGAGGTATTTTCAGATGATTGCTTACAACATTTTTTAAATTTATCTATCACAGTGAATAATTTCTTTCAATAATTACCAGAAGAGATTAGCATCCTTGGAAAAAATTAGCTATTGTTCACACCAGAGTGTGTGTAATGTTTGATTCTATAAAATGCCTACCTTATTTCAACAGTTGGGTTTTTTTAATCATAGTTTATGACAAGATTCTGCCAGAAGTCAAACATTTTTTGAGCTCCTCTTAAGATGTCTGGTACCCACTCCTGCCTGACCACATACAGATAACAGTGTGGCTTGCAGAAACCCAGGATTGCACAAGCTACTATCTCTAAACTCCAGAAGGAAATTTTGTTATGAATCCTATACATGAACTTTATAGAAAATACAGTTAAATATTTATTGCAAAGGGGAAAAAAAGAGCAATTTAGATCAGTCTAGAAGGTGTATATTTTACCATCCTATGACTACACTGCTATGCTATTAAAATTCAAAAGTGATGAAAAACAATTCTGATACAAAGCTAAGCAAAACAGGCTGATACAGCTGTAGGGTGCTACAGGAGCCTGTTTCGATTTC